TTTTTTTTGGCCTTTTTCTATGGCCTTTTTTCACTACCTGGACTGCTAGACTGGTTTCTTTCTTTCTCAGCCTGCCACATTCTTCACAGCTAGAAGAAAATATCTCTTCTAAGAAGCCTTCTTTGAACAATTCTATTCTGAGTACTAGGCTTTGCAGTCTTTCTATTCACCCTATGTTTTTGCCTTTTTGTTCTATTTTTAATACAGGAACTTACAAGTTTCAGGCTATTCTTTAAATAACCTTAAGCTTTCACATACACATGAGATAGCCATCATTTAATTCTAAAATTCATAATAGGAACCATTAGTTTTATTTTTTATTTTACTATAATACCTTCAACTATCCTCATTATACACAAAAGGTTAATTTTTGAATTATCTCAATTTTTTTCTTCTTTAAAAGATGCCAAGTTAATAGAAACGCTGTATTTGACTTGAATATATGTTTTTTTAATGTTGTAAAATGTGGTATGAAATTACATCAATGTATTCTTTTATAAAATGTTACTATAGAGCAGAAGCATGTGATAAATAAATGTGTATTTAAAATAAATCCAACTGAGGAAAAAATGCAATGTTAATGTGAATAAGAAACATTTCTTACACTGAAACAATACCGTTTATCTCAAAGCAGCATCAAATACTATAATAATTTGCACAGACACACAAACAACACTAAGAAAGTATTTTCTCAATAGCCAAAATATACCCAGCTCTGGCCACAACACAGAAAAACTATTAATTAAACCAGGCTACTAAATAATTTGAGAGAGGAATCTGTTTTTTTTGTTTGTTTGTTTTTTACAGCAGCCTTTTATGCCATGAATTCATAGGGAAAAGGTTCTAGCACCTTACACTCCTATTCCATTGGTTCTCTTGGTTTTCCTGTGTGCTATGATAAACACCTACTATGCCACGAATTCATGGGGAATAGGTTCTAGGACTTTATGCTGCCGTTCAACTGGTTCTCTGGGTTCTCCTGTGTGCTATGCTGTATGCCTATTACCCTATGAATTCTTAGGGAATGGGTTCGTGACAGGTTAATCTTATTGAAATTCTGGAGGAAGCGGACCCACAGTTTACTATCTCATTTAAAACAGTACAAAGAGGTTTTTTTAAAAGTTGCCTTGGTCAACTCTAGGTTCTAGATTGATCTGAAGAGTAAGAGGCTCCTGTATTTTTAGTGAGGCTGTTTTAGGAGGGTGGGATAGGCCTGGGGATTTAGGCCTATGGATTCTTTTTAGGATAATTCAACGAGAAACTGCTGAGTGCTTCAGTCTGCTGCATGGTGAACAGTTGTCTGTGTGCCAAGTGTGAGATGAATGGGCTGGGAAACAGCTGAAACAAGGCTCCTTCCACCCTGACCCCCAAAACAGGGTTTCTAATGGAAAGTCTGACAGACCCTTTACTGTAGTGGCACTACTGGGGGCAGCTATAATATTATCCTCATAATTCTACTATATAATAACAACAAAGAAAAAGAAGGTGAAGGGTCATTGTGCTTTGTCTTTAGAATTAAGATGGCTGTCTTCATCCTTACAGCATACTCTTAATTCTGAAGACACATCTTAATAACCTCTAAATAGTTCCAACAAAAGAGCCGTGTCAGAGGAATGAGCAGGCCCCAAGGTGTTTCAACTGGAGTGTTTTCATCTGCCTTTATTGCTCTATCCCTCTCCAGAATTAAGGCAATAACCTGTGATAAATTATTCAGGAACTGCTACAGGGATCAAAGCAAAATCATTCTGTTAAAGTGCTGTTTGCAACATTTGGCACTTAGTGCGAAAACTTTTAATGTGCGCATGCTGAAAATCAAGGATTTTAAATAATTTAACATTGTGGAGTTTTTACGAAAGGACTAAAGATAGCAGGTTCCTATTTAACTGCTCCTCTGCCTCTGAGAAGTTTTCATTCATTTTCTTTAAAACTGATGATGTCATGGCCAATTCAAAAATGATGCATGAGTCAGGGGTGTATTGGACTATATTTTACCATAGATACAATCATAGGGGGAAAAACACATATTTTGAAATAACAGTGTAAAGCCAGGATCTGTCATGAATTTTCTTTCTTTCTCCCCTTATTTTATAAAGAAAAACCTAAGACAAAAATTCAATGTTCTCTTCAATTTTATTAGAACTAAGTAAGAAAACAAAGCCATAAATTTAACAGTTTTGTAGCATTTTCTCCCCTCACAACTATATTTCAATTTGGCAACACAGGTCCTTCATGTTTAAGTTCATCCTGAAATCTGCATTTGAATAATTTCTATAAATAGGGAGTCAGAAGATCCTGGGAAGGGTTGCAAATTAAATGAATTTGGCAGTCCTGCGGCATTTTCATAGAGATATTTTAACAGCATTACCTCCTGTGGATTGGAATACTAAATACTTTATTGAAGAACAAAACAGAAATGTTTTTATCTCTAGTACTTACAAAATGAAGTACCTGAAAGCACTTTTGCATGTATTATTTATTCATCATGATAGAAAAATAGCCTTAACCTAATAAATTACATTTAAAAGCATTTAGTGCAAAAGTTTTGTTTATGATAAAGCAACAGATTTAGTTCTTTATAGGTAGCTTAAAGCACCAAGTTTTCTTTATACAAATTAGACAGATGGTGCTTACAGTAGAATTTACTAAAGGTCTGTCACAACAAATGCAGCCAAGCTGCATATTTAATCACTGCAGAATCTTGTCTACCTGCAGCTGCCAACTGCTAATCCAATTTCCCTGATAAATGTGGCAAGAGACACGATCAGCAATAAAGAGCATCTAACTCCATTTTCCTGCAGGGCGTCTTTTGATGAACATTTAGGACGGAAGCATCGAGTGCACTGTGTGGCCTTGGTTCGTGGCAGCTGCATGCATTCTGAGGCACAGTTCTCAGGTTACTCACTTAATTCTGCCACTATCATTACGTTGCTATTGATCTCAGTAGCTGTTGCCTACACAGCATTACTCTAGATGAAGCTGAATCAGGCAGTTATCATGCATCAAACTTGCTCAAAAGCCTGGAGATTTCCCCTTAATTACTTGTGATTTTATTTGCAAATACCGTTAAAGTGTAATCAAGCAGTCACTTTCCAGGGTCGTTAAGAACTTGCTGGTTTAGGGATACATCACTGAAACTCCATTAAAAATGACTCTAGGAAGATGGTTTAGATGGGATTCCATCAAAACGGGTTTGTTATATAATGAAATCTTCAAATGAGACAGATGCAATTTTACAAAGATGTTTTTGAACTTCATTGCATCTTTTTGATAAAGGGCATCAAAAGCCACTTTAAAGCTATGAAGATTTCTGTTGATCTTAAAAGTCTCTGGAAGACATCCAAAGGTATTGCTAACCTGGGTGGAAACGCAGGTGAAGAATTTCAGGAAGACTATAATCAGAGAAAATCTGTAAGAGCCTTTTGGTTTTAAAATTCTGTGACTATGCCAAATTGATAAATATTTATTTAAAAAATTCAGTTTTAAGTAAAAAGATACAGCATTTGGCAAGTTAATAATTCTGTGACTATGCCAAATTGATAAATATTTATTTAAAAAAATTCAGTTTTAAGTAAAAAGATACAGCATTTGGCAAGTTAATTTTTGGTAGAACAATTATGTAAAAATAATCATCAAAGATCACCATTTTTCTCTTTGGCTTCTTACTGCTTTTCTTTTCTTTTTTTTTTTTTTTTTGGTAAAAAGAAGAGAAGCCTTGCAAAAGAGGTGGATATTTCCAATGTATTTCAAATAACAATTAAATATGCAACCCAAGCATCACCAACAAAAGTGTCCACATTCTCTGGAGTACATTTATTAGTCTTTTAAAAATAATAATTGGTGTCAGTCTATTTAATATAGCCTTGATACATTATAATTTCAGGAGATACTATTTCTATTTAGCAGGGCTTGTGCTACCCATCCCCCACCTTAAAATATGGGGCTGTTTTGTCACAGACAGCTTGCTACACTTAAGGATTTTACTAATAAAACATAATGTTGTCTTAGATATTATGACTGTTGCCACAGCTGAACTGACTTGTCAAATCAATCCTAATATGGCTCCCACAGGCACATAAAAACCTTATTTAGCTATCAGTTATCCTAATCACTTTGTTCAGTTTAAGAATGCAATACTTCAAAGACCAGTTCCTATTTATACATATATGCCTAGCCATTTAATAAAGTCTTGATTTATATAAATTCTTGTTTAAAAAAATATTTAGAGACATAGTTTTAGCATGTGCATGTTTGTGTATTCCTCCCTATATATATTTTGAAACAAGAGTGCAGGGTGGATGAGGGAATAGGAATGTTTAAAATGGTGTACCCACGAGAAATGTTCAATTAAAGATAATAACTGACACAAGAGACAAATCTGTACCATCTAATCATGAACTGACTGTCCAAAACCACTCGCTAACCTCAAAGTCCATTTGTATAAGAAACGAGAAAAGTGCTTAAGTGAAAAGTACAACTCAAAGACACATGCAACTGGGAAAGCAGGTCTGACCAAGGCACAACATACACACAAATGCAAAACCTTTTCAGAAAGAGAAGAGCAAAATTGTCTCTCCTCATATTTGGGGAAAAACCTACCTTTACATCTTCCTGTTTAAAGTTGTTGTTGAATATTTGTAATACTGTTTCAAAAGCAACTGTAAGAGGCAGCATGAAATTCTCAAATTCATCCTCATCTTCACCTATCACAGAAACAAAAAGGTCACCATGGTTTAAAATGCCTGTTACTGGACATTAGCCTCAGCACTGCTTGCTTCATTTGGACTTAGGGGTACATTACTAAAATGTAGTCCTGAGGAGGGGTCAGCCTGCATTTACACATTCTGTGCTATGGCTCATTGAATATTCTGGTGTTTTGCCTTTTCTTTTGCACCAAATGAAACAGCAAAATTACTTACCAGCCGTTTTTTCCCCCGACTCTTTATTGGATCTAACAGATTCATGCCCCAGGCATCTCAGCCTTTTAGCTGTGGGACCCCAGAGCTTGCTTCCCTAATGCCTCAAGGAAGGTACGCAAAGCCTCAGAGACAAGGATCTTTTTTTTCCCTTCTCTTTAGGTGCCAAGTCCTAAAGGGCTCACAGACTCAGGTGCCCAGATAGCTCTAAGTTATTATCCTCTTTTATTTATGTTCGTTTTAAAACATTAATTTGCTAAAAAAAATGGCAGGGAAACTTTATCTGACAAAAAGGATGTGGTTGCTTAGGGGTCATTTGGGTTTTGAGTACATTTTCCATGGTACACTTCTTAAACAGAGAAGTCTTTTTCTTTATGGAGAAGACATTTCCTATTAATTTTCACTTTAATTAATTAATTTATTTAAAAACAGAGTCTTACTTTGTCACTGTTGGTAGAGTGCTGTAACATCATAGCTCACAGCAACCTCAAACTCTTGGGCTCAAGCGATTCTTTTGCCTCAGCCTCCCAAGGAGCTGGGACTACAGGTGCTCACCACAATACCCAATGAGTTTTCCAATTTTAGAGACAGAGTCTCATTATGGCTCAGGATGGTCTCGAACTCCTGAGTTCAGGCAATCCACCCACCATGGCCTCTCAGAGTGCAAGAATTACAACCATGAGCTACTGTGACCAGCCTATTTTTTATTTGTCTTGAGACAAAGTCTCACTCAGTCATCCTGCGTAGAATGTCATGGCATTAGAACCCACAGGAACCTCAAACTCCTAGGCTTAAGCAATCCTCTTGGTTTAGCCTCCTGATTATTTGGGACTACAGGTGCCCCCTACAATATCTGACTAGTTTTTCTATTTTCAGTGAAAACGGAGTCTCACTTTGTTCAGGCTGGTCTTGAACTCCTGAGCTCAGGCAATCTACCTGCCTTGGCCTCCCAGAGTGCTAGGATTATAGGAGTGAGCCACAGCACACGGATTTTTCACTTTAAACGTAGACTACAGTTTCCTCAAGGATTCTGTCAAAGCAGAATCTTCACACATGGATATGCACAACTAATAAATTTATAAAGTATTCTTTTCAAGGTGAGGCTCTTTTAAACATAAGATTGAATCCACTAATTCAACCTATGCCACAGGGTCCTATAAGCCCTACTTTACTGATGAAGAAAACAGGCAGAGAAAGGGTAAGTGCCCTGCTTACAGTGGCATATTTATTTATTTATTTATTTAGAGACAGAGTGTTACTTTTTGCCCTCGGAAGAGTGCTATGGCGTTACAGCTCACAGCAACCTCCAGCTCTTGGGCTTAGGCGATTCTCTTGCCTCAGCCTCCCAAGTAGCTGGGACTACAGGTGCCCGCCACAATGCCCAACTATTTTTTTGTTGTTGTTGAAGTTTGGTTGGGGCTGGGTTTGAACCCGCCACCCTTGATACATGGGGCACTGCCCTACTCACTGAGCCAAAGGTGCTTCCCCGGTGGCATATTTAGTTGGAGATGGAAATGTATGATTCAGACCTCTTGACTTCTATGCTATTAGTAGAGTTTCTAAACAGAGCATTGGCTCGGCACCCATAGCTTAGTGAGTAGGGCACTAGCCACATACCCAAGTGGGCGGGTTCAAGCCCAGCCAGGGCCTGCTAAACAACAATGACAACTGCACTCAAAAATAGCTGGGCGTTGTGGTGGGCACCTGTAGTCCCAGCTACTTGGGAGGTTGAGGCAAGAGAATCACTTAAGCCCAAGAGTTTGAGGTTGCTGTGAGCTGTGACGCCACGGCCCTCTACCGAGGGCAACATAGGGAGATTGTGTCTCAAAATAAAATAAAATAAAATAAAATAAACAGAGCATTAAAGAGGAAAGAAATTCTCAGAGAAGAGACCAATGGTCCTCAAAGTTTAGCAGCATCAGCATCACCTTCAAACTTCTTAAATACAAATTCCCAGGTGCCATCCCAGATCTACCGAATCAGAAACTTGAGGGGTGGGCTCCAGCAATTTTGTTTTATTTAACAAGCCCTCCAGGTGATGCAGATGTCTGCAAATGTTTGAGGAACATTGGTCTATACTTTACTGTGAACTGGGACTATAGGCTCCCACCACGAAGCCGGGCTATTTTGTTTTTGTTGTTGTCATTGTTGTTTAGCAGGCCTGGGTCAGGTTCGAACCCACCAGCCCCGATGCATGTGGCCAGCACCCTAACCACTGAGCTATGGGTACTGAGTCATATACATCACTTTAAACAAATGGAAACTGAGATCATGGTAGATTCTTTGACTTGTAAAGTGGCTGATCTGATCTTCTGTGATGCCTCTTTTCTCTTCAACTTCATGTATTTTGTTTGAGGAGCCAAAGAGCATCTGGGACTTAGCAAAGAGATGCTAAAAGGCCAATGAGTCCTTCCTGATGCACTACTGTAGACAAGGAAGAGTCAAGGTCCTGAGTAAAGAATAAGGCAGACCAAATTACCATCCATAGTCTGCCATTTGGCTATGGGACCAAATTATTCTTCAGAGATAGACCTTTCTCGTCAACTGGTGATAACATGAGACCTATACAGATGCTACTCCTATTTTTCAAGGCCCAGGTCAAATAATATCTTTCCCAATATCTAGCTAAGCTCTCCCTCTCCAATCAAGTATTTTCCCTTCTCCCTGCGGATTCTCATAGCTTTTTGTCTCAGTATCAGTCTGCTTTGAATTGCAGATATCAAAGATATATTCAAGCATATATCTAATAACACCGGTAATACCACTTATATTATATCACCACTACCACTATTTAATCAGGATTACTATGCGGATTAAATGAAATAAAATTTATAATGTGTATATATAAATTATTAGTTCTACCAGCATACACTGATAGTTTTCTTCACATTAGCTTCTGAAGAGTTAAAACTGGGCATCTATGTGTTTCTCAGCAGAGGAGAACAATGTAGTATACAGGCCCAGGTGTCTGACTCCACTATGTATTACTTAACTTGGACTATTTAACTAATCACCAGTGCCTCAGTTTCCTCAGCTATAAAATAAGGATAAAAATATCTATCTTTGACAGTTATTGTAAAGATTAAGTGTTATAATATATGAAAACCGGAAGATGCTTAATAAACATTAGTGGTGTCCTAGTATTATACTGTAGTACCAGTACCTAGAACAGTGCCTAGTATATTAGGGAAATACTGTGTTTGAATGAGAAGTAGTTACTTAATAAAGGTAAATTAAAAAAAAAAATCTTATTTTTTTAACACCTGATATAGATTAACACAATAAATAATTGAAGCAAACATTACCAAATCCCAAATACATAATATATATGCACATTATATTTAAGCCGTGTAATTTTACTCTTCTAAGACAAAGTGTTTTCTAAATGTGGAATAATTAATGAAATTAGTGATAATTATCACTGTAGGCCGACATGGGTGCTGCAAAGACTGAATGGCTTAAAATCAGAAAGTTTACCTAAGCCTGAATCCTGGCCTTGCTACTGTTAGCTATCTGGTTTTGGGTGAAGTCACTTCACTCATATAAGCTTTAGTGTCCTCATCTATAATTAAGAGACATAATATTTACTCTATGAAGTTAGCTGTGAGGATTAAATAAATGACAAAACATCTGTAACCCCTCTCACTCAGTGCCTGGGTGCTTAATAAATGATAGCCATTAGCATTTTTGTTGTCTTGAGTTTAATACAGACTAAGAGACGTGATTATGGTAATCAAATGAAGTATGACTACAAGATTGACAGCCCAATACACTTCATTCGGAAACAAAGCTTCCCAAGGTAAGGATGTTTACTCAGAACAAAGACAAGTTCAAAATTTTAACATTTCAACCCCTCACTTAATATTCTGAGCTACAGATCAAAAACCTTTCTAACTTTACATCTTTCTCCAGTCAAATTTGGAGCAAACAGGAACAAGAGGAGCATAAAAGACAAACCACAAAAATGCACAGGGAGAAATGAAGGAGAAAATACTAAAAACAGTAATGTGAACAGCAATTCTATTTCAATGTCACTTTCTCAGAGAGGCCTTCCCTGACCATCCTATTTAAAAAGGTACCCACAGCACAACCCCCATCACATTCTAATCCCATAATGGGCTTCACTTTCTTATAGGGCTTAGTATTACTGGCTACTAGTTTATATATTCATTTATTGTTTATCCTCTCTACTATAATATAAGCTCCCTGGGGAAGGAATTAGGTTTATTTTGATCATGGCTCTATCCCTAGTGCCTTGAATAGGGTCTGTCACTCAAAAAGTATTTATAGCAGATATTTCCTGAGTACTTACATACAGGCAATGAATTTGGTACTTTATTTATTTAAAAACCACTTAGGTGGCTTTTAGTATGTTCAAAGCACTGTTGCAAGTCACTAAGGGTCATAATCCCAGGAAATTGTATGATTTCCTTCATTTTACATGTGAGCAGAGAGGTTCAAAGGAGTGAAGTAGCTTGCCTAACATCCTCCAGCTGGAAAATGCCAGTGAACTAGGATCTCCCGTTAGGCAGGTGTGCTTTATTCCCAAGCTATTGCTCTTCTTTCTATGCCTCTGACGGGGTAGAAGGCATCAGAGGTGGGGATAAAATTAGTGTAACAGAATGGTGAATTTGGAGCTGCATAAAGTCAGAAGAGGGTGAAGAACAATCAGTTTGATTCTAATAAGGGAAATGGAATTCCTAGGCGATCATTTCAGCTTCAAGATGGCAAATGTGAGATGCTGATGCATTATTACAACACTGTTAGTACTGTTCCTCTGTTCTTGC